CACTCCTGGCATTGCGGTGTAGAGGTTGACGTATAGAAATTACACGCTGCACATGGTTCGACTCCTATTGGGGATGTTGATAAGACCTAGACGAGGTCGAAACTGCAGTCCATCCTGAATGAGAACGCCTTTGGGGAAAGCAAGGCTATGCGAAATGCAATGAAAACGTCTGCTCTACTCATATCATTGTGTGAAAATTCAAGTTCCATTCGTTCATCACCTTAAACAAAATAGGTTGAATACATTTCATATGGAGATTTAAACATAAATATTTAAAGCAAGATGTTGTGGCTTCTGTCTTAATAACAGTCTTCTTTCCCTGTCTAGAAATAGTTGGACCTCATTTTTGTAACTTGGCCATGTTGTCAGTCACCTGGATAAACACATTTTTTCCGAAGTCCTCTACTAATGTGATACTGATCGTTTGTCGTCGTACGAGTTGTAGCTTGGTGCTAAGACTGAAAGGGCTTACTGATGATATCGGCGAAATAACTAGGAATGTACCAAGTCCACGGTCCGATACCATTAATTAGCATAAATGAAATTGCAGAGGACTTTGGCAAGATGAGTCCAACTAGACCGCACTGACAATATGACCAAGTTGCGAAAACGAGGTCAGATCACTTCTATATACATTTAATTATCTTTTTATTTGCGTCTTGTAGCAGGAAAATGTTACTTATTGTCATTAAATGAATCGATGTTTCGTACCTTTTTTTGATTCTTGTTCGTTTTTCATGTGCAGTCTCTAATACAGCTGAATGTGACGCCTTGACTTCGCAACATAACCAGTCCACAGAGGTCATGGCCTTTGCAGATAAAGTTGTCTAGGCATTAGTTGGACTTGTCTATTTAAATAATTATACTTCTGCTTTGTTCTTCAAGTTCTATTCTACGCGTCGCCTTCATCTTCTCTGTGCTAAAGTGTGCCTGGGAAGAGCTTGGACTAAGTTGGACTTTTGATCTACGACCCCTTCTGTCCTCGGTCGAAGGCCTTAAAGACAGTTCATCTCACGATACACAATCTTTCTCACTTGTCGACTTTATATTGTATCGCTTCTCACTTCGACTCACATCGCATTGCCTTGTCTTGCCTCGTTTCATTCCATCTCGGCTCGTCTCATCTCTCCCAGTGCCGTTTAGTGTAGCCTCACGCAGTCTCGTATCTCCTTGTATCGCCTCGTATTGCATAGTATCGCTTCGTATCGCCTCGTATCGCGTCGTCTCGTTTCACTTCGTCTCGCAAACATTGCATCGTCTATAAGGCGAAAAAATTAGACATGGTCGTCTCCTTTTTGCACATATAGCCACTGCTACTCGCCAGTGTAAGCCCATATATATTCGCAAAATCTCAACGTGCTATGACCATGATGTAAAAATTGACATGCGCTCATAGCCATTCCAGTTGCAGGTAAGACAAACGCCGCTGCGGCTCGGGCTCTTCAGCCTGGATGACGTGATCAAAACCAGTTGATCTGCGTACGCGCAGTCACTCAGACACATTTGTGCACGAAAATCGCCTGCTATTCCATGTCCCTTGGTTCAACAACCGCTTCCTTTGCCTCTATTCATATCGTCCGCACAGCGTATTTCCATTTTTTCTCCATACTACTACTGTTTCGTGTGAACAGTGTATCGGATAGGCTGTTTACGTCTATTCTCTATTCATCTATTTCTTTATTTCTCTATTTCTCTATTTCTCTATTCCTCTATTCCTCTATTAGTTATTGGGCCTGGAAACAGACCCTCGAAATAAATGTCAACTCAAGGGCAGGAAGTAACCGCTCCGGCCCGCCAGCCATGCGGATAGTCCTGCCTTATCTGGCCTGCCAATGTTCCACCTGGTATGCTGATGTGGTTTGGCCCAGAGGCTGCCCAGCTCTTGTTCCCTCCATGTAGGTCCATCCACGGGCTGTTTCAGCCTTTCCTTTCGGTCGGCCTTTATGAAGTCTGACCTCTCGGCAGTGCTCGCATCTGCCCACCTTGTGATTGCTTAAACCTTATGGCTCAGCCTGCTCTCCCGGTATCCCTGCCAGCCCTACTACCCGACCCTACTCCACTCCACTCCACTCCACCGCTCTGCTCTACCTCAGCCTACCCTACACTGCAAAAGCCCTGCCCATCCCAGCCCTGTCCAGGCCAACCCGGCCCGGCCCTGCCTGGTCCGGCTCCACAAGGCCCTGCTCTGCCCGGCTCGGCTCGGCTCTGCTTGGCTAGGCCCTGTCGACTTTTTCAGTCCTGCTAGCCCTTACCCAGGCCCTTGGGAAGCCGGAACAGCCCAGTTGTTAAAATGACACAATAACAACATTCCGGCGCTATACCCTCGTTCTGTCCTGCTGCAAAAGCTCGTCATGTAAAAGCCTATGCCCAGTCCTTCGGCTCACGTTTCGATTTGCTCGCTTCCCTTTACTAGCCCTCATTTGCCACCATCCTCTTCTCACTCTCTTCAACACACACGTCCACCTTTCATTAAACCCCATTTTGTCCTCACCATTCCTTCACATCTCCGGCCTCTTCGCCGCTTCGCCTCTTCGCCTCGTCACTTCACTCTGCACTCTCTGACGCTTGTAAACCAGGCGCTCTATCGATTGCCTGCCATGGCGACAGGCACAACGACTGCAGGCAGGAGACTGGCCGATGCTAATCGCCCAGTAGAAGGGCAGATGGGGCACGAGGCAGAGCCATACAGAGGCAGTGAGATGACGACAACGCCAGCAGCGGATCTGCAGTCGTCGGGCCAAGGAGGTCGTCTTTGTGCTACATTCACTCCCTTTTACGCCTTGGCGCGGTCAATTTAGCCCTCAGATATGCTCCTGGACAGACACCCTGACTGTCCAATCACCGACAGCCTTACTTGGGCGAATTTGGGCTTCCCTTCCCTTAGCCTCTTATCTCCGTCTCTTTGTACTACCATCCTACACTCAGTACTCTCTATCCACTTCCAGCCACTCCCTCTATCCTCTCTTCTCTAGACCTTATCGCATGCTCTATATGTGCCATGGGTCAATGGGTCTGCTTTATATTTCACTCGCTGTTTGTGGCTGGATCAGGCTTGTTTGATACCTTCCATGCATGACTAATCCAGCGGCTCGTCGACAGACCAGATTTATTTTACCCTACTTGCTAGGGCTTAAAATCCAATCCCATCCTTTCCTTATGTAAGCCTCCTAGCAATGTTTGTTTTAGTCATCGTCGCCTTGTCTGGTCTGCAACTCCTCTCAATACAACTAAGAATTATGACGAATCAGTGCGGAGCAGATGCCCCATCAATCTCCTCTGTTTCAGAGCTTTAACTTTTCTTACATAGCTGCAGATGACAAGATTGTGGTTCAAATTTTGAGCGATCTTCTATCCAACCAGCCGTTCGGCTTATCACTCCATGAGTCCGCCAAGGTCATAGTGTTCAGTGCCCAAGCTGGGAGCCATTAGCCTATCTT